TTGAAGCATTCTGTCAGGTCTATCAAAAAACAAATATCTTGAAAATCGATATCGTAAAGTGTTGCATAAAAGACAAAAAGGCGTTTTTTATGTCAAAATTTATCCAGTCATTCTTCTCCACTTTTCATTGGTTAATGAAAAAGAGTGGGTTCAAAACGAGGCTGTCTATTTTTAAAACGTCATCGTTCTCCATTTTGATTGGTTAATGAAAAAGAGTGGGTTCAAAACGAGGCTGTCTATTTTTAAACGTCACTGTTCTTCAATTTCATTGGCTAATCAAAAATAGCAATACCGGTTTAAACCTGTCGTAACTGGACCGTTTAACGATAGGCTATAGTAACTTGTCATAAATAGTTTGATAGGCAAGGAGTAAAGACTGGGGTAAGCTTATTTTAGTTTATTTTAATGATTTTTACGCATGAGTGATTTTAATTTCCACCTTCTTCACCTTCTCCCCTCCTCCTCCTCCTCCTCCACCTCCTCCTCCTCCTCCTCCTCCTCCACCTCCTCCTCCTCCTCCACCTCCTCCTCCTCCTCACTTGTTTTATGTATTTTTACACATTGCAAGGAACGGTTGTCCAACCTGCTTTCGAGTCAATCAGAATACTGTCTTATTAGTGACCAATCCGAACGCTTCTTTTACTCCATTTATTACGATTAACCGTAGCGATTCATTCATTGCCGATTTAGATAGCGAGGAGTAAAGGTTGGGGGTAAGCTTATTTTAGTTATTTTAATCATTTTTACGCATGAGTGATTTTAATTTCGATTTTAGTCCGTATTCATTAAAGAGCGGCTTGAGACATTTCATTTGATACCAAACACGCCTTAGTTCGGTCCAGGCGTGGTACAGAAAACACGTTTTTACGCTTCAGTGATTTCAGTTCCGGTCCAATGACTTTTTGAATAGCGTCAGGTAACAGGTGTGGTAAAATGCTTTCCAACGATACCAAACACGTATATATTCGGTCAAGTAATAACGAAGAAAAATCGATTTTGAAATTTCCGTGACGTCACTTCCGGTGACTTTAAACTCGAATTACTCGAAAACGGTAAAAGATAAAACCCATAAAACTATATATTTTCTTTATCAGCGCGACGAGACGAATTGATTGGTAAAAAGTTCTAACGTTTTTTATTGACTTTCGCAATTTAGGGTTTAAAATCGCTCTTGCGTCATAACTCAAAAACGGCTGAAAATCGAATCGAGAACCCCGGGTCAAAACGAAAGCTTTCGGTTTATTCTATCTTATAACGACTTTATCTCAAAAATTTTGAGCGTAAACGGTTGCCCAAACGATGAAAAACCGGTTTATAGCTTAAATGTATTATAAATTTCATTTAAAATCAGTTTACAACTTTCTTATACATAAGTTATTCATTTAAAATTTATTTTTGTATAAAAAATAAGAATCTGAAGTGTTCATAAAAATCACAACATTTACCAGTTGCTAAGGGCAACCGTGTTTAAAATATGCAATCAGTTTACCGTAGCATGCACTTAAAAGGAACGGTACAATATATGAAGTGTTAAAATATGTTAATGCATGCGTAGCAATTTCTCGTTAATGAGTTTTTACTTAATGGTCGCTGCATTTAAAAGGATAAGATTAATGAAAAAGCTATATTTAGTAACGAAGGATAAAGGGTTTTTGTTCAACATAGTTCCGCTAGGTATTGTAAATCTAGACTAAGTGGCGACTGTACTTGACGGTCGCTGCGTTTGAAAGGATAATAGATTCTTTTGTGATTAATGAAAAGTTATATTTAGTAACGAAGGATAAAGGGTTTTTGTTCAAAATAGTTCCGCTAAGTATTGTGAATCTAGACTGAGCGGCGACTGTACTTAATGCCTTTTTCTTTCATTGACACCCGCGTGGGGCTGATGAAATAGCTCCTGGTGGTTGTGAAATACCGCGACTAAAAATAGATCATGCGCAGTCTACAAGAACGTTACGCTATGACAGTCATTTCCTTACTAAATGTAGGTAAGTAAACGAGTTATATTTTATAAATATTATTTATTTTTGAACATATTAAAAAAAAACTATTTGTTTTTTTATTTATAAATTAAGCACGTATCTATTTAGAAACATTTCTTTTATCTTTCATGATGTTTAATTATCTCTCCGTCTAGGGCCGAGGACCTGACCCTCAATGTCCGCGATTCAAGCCCTAAGATCGTGTATACGAGTCAGCTCCGTATACTTCCGGGAGATTAAAAATAGAACGATAATGTCATTCTAAAAATAGAACGATGATGTCATTCTAAAAATAGAATCCAATATGGCGCCGCGCATGCGCAGTCTTGGGGGTAAACCGACGCCTATACTACTCACATCTTCTCCCCTAAATAGTGAACAGTTCTGAACCGCGACCAACTTACCCGCTATATTGAAATTCGTTCTCGAATTTCACAATGTGAATTAAACTCTGAGCTATATTCAGTTACGGTTCCCGTTGGACACCAAAATGACACAGGGTATTAAAGGGAGACACAGGCAAAATTTTCATTTCTTAGTTTTGAATTTTTCATTCATTATTCTGTAAATGTCCTCAAAATGAATACACTTAACAGTCAAAGGAACAAAACTTTTCTCCATATAAAGAGTAAAATGGTGTTTTCCTAACTTGACCCGCGTGGGTCAGTTTAGAGCGCTAAGATTTCACAATAGTTCTCACTTTGTACTCTGGAAACGTTAAAGAAAATTTTCATTTCTTAGTTTTGAATTTTTCATTCATTATTCTGTAAATGTCCTCAAAATGAATACACTAAACAGTCAAAGGAACAAAACTTTTCTCCATATAAAGAGTAAAATGGTGTTTTCCTAACTTGACCCGCGTGGGTCAGGTTAGAGCGCTAAGATTTCACAATAGTTCTCACTTTGTACTCTGGAAACGTTAAAGTTTCAATCATACAATATCCACAATACCTGTAATTGTAACTTCCAGGGTTTGTTCAAATCATATGACTTGATTTAAAACTATTCGGTGATTCTGTTGGCGTCTAAATGTCATTCAACATATCTAGATATATTTAAGCTTCAAACCCAAAATATATAGAATTTATACAGAAATTTATGCTAGCTAGGACTTTAAGAAATGTCATTTTAGGGTGATTTGAGTACAGAAGATCATTTTTATATTTTTGTCATTATTTTGCCTGAGTATCCATTTAACATAATCAATTTTGTCTGTGTTTTTCTCATTTTCAGCTTAAATAAACATTTATTCTGAATGATGACTCAATTAAAATGGCATTTATTAGTGTTGATTATGTTTTATCATAGAGTGTATTGTTTTTTAGCTCTCTTTTAAAGTTATATGATAACATTTTTTATTCCTTCAGGTATAGTTATAACTCTACCTTTATTTCAGTTGTACCAGAGATATACATGTAATTTTGCATTAATTTCCAATATCTTTAAATTTCAGCTATTTTTGGGGTTTTACCTTTAATTACTGAGGGTATATAAATTGAGTTTCAGTTAAACTGAGCTTATACCTTTATTTTCAACAGTATTGAGTCTACACCATTAAATTCAGCTATCTTATTTTTCAGCAATATTGAGCCTTTACCTTTCTATTTATTATTTTAGGTATATACCTTTATTTATAAGCAGTTGCCAGCCGAACCAGTACCTTTAAAATTGTCATATAAAACCTATATTGTATTCTATAAATCTATAAATTACGCATGTTACAGAAACTTTATGATACAGTGTCTTTAGTTTTATGGGTACTGCAGTTTTGAGACAGCTGTTTTATAGGTTAATTAAATCATGTAAATGTCAGGACAAGCAGTAGGGAATGCCACGGGTCGATTTATTTGTTATGTTAATTGTTCATTTTGCCGTGCACTGTTTGCCATTTAGACGGACAAGTATAATTTATGTCCGCTCATTCGTCGATTGTCGTTTGTTTCCGTAGCGTATGTCATCGACTGCTATTGTATCGGATCCGTAACGTACGTTATTGGTGGAAAGTCACGGAAACGGCCGAGACAATTCAACTATGTCCGTATCTCGTGCAATTTTGTGAACTGTTTTCGTATGTCCAATCGTGTTGTTCTCCAGATCACTTTTTTCTCTTACGAGTTTAGATATACAATTTATACTTCTTACATTAATTCTATCAGTTCTCTTGGAACAATAACTTATTATTAAGTTATTTTCTTTCTTTGGTAAGATTATTTTCATTTCATTCATTTACTACTAGTACCTGAAATAATTCTTATTTGCATCGCTCAAGTGTTGTATTGTGGTATTTTATGTATGTTTTATTACATTGTTTTAAAATCATGTATTTATGTTTTAAGGCTTTTCTTCTTATTATATTCAATAAATTTGACGAACCTACGCAAGGAGTTTAGCATACCCAGTGACAAATAGCCAAAAGGTATTCAAATCTTAAACATAAAAAACTTTGTTTAAATAAAACCGGATATGTCTGCATGTTAAAACAAGTTGGTTAATATAATTATAACCATTTTTATAATACTGCACGTTTGTAACGTCATTTTTCATTGGATAATCGTGACTTTTATATAGTTATATATACACGACTGCTGTCGATTCATGAAGAAATCTTACTTTTTTCCTCTAAAAATGATGCTTGCTGTATTATAAATTCGTTATAAAGATTGTTGACAGGTTATATTGCCGTATATAAACGGCTGTTTGCAATATAACCCTCGCCTAACGGCTCGGGTTATATTTACAACATGTACAAATAGCCGTTTATATAGAGCCATATAACCTGTCAACGATCTTTATAACTAATAATATTCACCATGATAATATATGTATATGAATTATTCTTACACACGCATAAATTCATTTCATATAAAACTAAAGAACAGCGAATGCAGGTGTAAGTGAATCAGCTATGTAAATCTATTTCATATTTAAATCAGCTATTTTACTGATATAGGATACTCAAGTATTTCCTTCTTACACTACAAAAGTATTGCTTCTCATAAATATAGATGTTGTAACTACTTGAAATATTAAAATGGATTTATTCATACAAATAAATGCAAAATTAAACCAGAAAGACAATACAGGGATATTATTTTGGCCCAAAAACGCGCCCATGTTTTCGAAATCTCGAGGTTTGCGCCGAAGACTTGACATCAGTTGGCATCCTACACTGCCCATTTTCAAGATAATCACGCATATTATCATATGTTTTTCTAAACTTAGACACGTTATTAAGTCGTCTGCATAGTTCGCATATACTGTATCTATGACCATACTCGTATCTCTGCTCGTATACATCTTTTCTACGCAGAAAGTCAATGTACCTATCTTTGTCATTTGCGAGATTTAAAAGATACTGCACTAATGATGACGTATTGGAATAATGTGCAGTATTTATGTAAGTTTTTGTCGGAAGAACTCGGTCATAGTCCGCTCCACCTCGCACAACAACGACCCAGTTATATTCATAGTACAAGAAAAACTTTTCTGTAACATAATCGTTACATATAGAATTCTCAAATCCCAGATAAAACTTATATTGCGGTATTATATTTTGTAAAATTTCTTGGGAAATTCTTTTGTTAGGTCCACACCGCCCATAAATGTCAACATCTAGGCCGTTCTTGACTAGTTCAGCGACGTATAGGTCACGTGCACTCTGCGTACGGCAGTTGCTTACAACCCATAGAGCTGTTTTTGTCTTAGCTTTATAAATAGCTTCATAGTCTAATTTTCTTGGAACAACTCTTGTTCTTAAGTAACCATAAGGGTGAGGCATGTCAGAGTCAATTCTATACGAAATAGACCAATTCATTGTGTTCCTGCAAGCAGGAGATTTAAAGTCACTGTACAAATGATTTATTGGCGTTTCACCGCACTTGAATATCCAGGCCTGGTTAGGATTGCGGTCTTTCGTATCAATTGGAGGCTTTGTACCCATGCCGCCTTTACAAATTATAAACAGGAGGGCATCGGCGGTCTTTAGTAATGATTTGTCGCTCGTCATATAACAGTTATTGTATTCACATGTTTTAAGCCTCTCATTTGTTGAAACTTCGTCTTCGAACCCTGGCTTGTTGAATATTAGCAAAGCCTTCTTTTTCTCATTTTCTCCAAACATTTTAAAAGACGTTTCGAACTGCTCCTTTGGATCTACAAGACTATACATTGTGAAATCTTCTAACTGGTCAGTTTGTCGTGACCTATTAGTACCAAGGGTTACATTATGTATCTTACTTGAAATGTTTAATTCCCGAACATTATTATCCAGTTTTAAATGGTTCACATTTGCCACGATATGTAATGACTGCGGCGTCCAATGTGAAACTGTAACAGAAAGGAACAAAGTATTTATTGTAAGTAAAGTTCCAATCAGTATAACAATCGCAACAGATTTCTTTAATGTTAACCGGCGTTTCATTTTAATTCCTATATCCAAACTGTTGTACAATCACTATTAATATTTTAAACATATGGCTATCTATAAGGCTTGGGACATTACAAAGATAGTCTTAGACAATCTGTCTTTAAATGTTGAACAATACAACCAGTTAACTTTGATAAGGCAAGTACAAGGATTGTCATAGACTTGTTTATGCTGTTTATACTGAATGTGAAATATAAATGTATATGTAGACCTATGGTTATGATATAAATATGTGTAATTGTGTGCATGAATATACATGTATGTAAAATATGTGTACATCTATGATTATTGTATCTGGTATGAGTTTGTGTATGTATATGTTGTACATATAAATTAAATGTTTGAATAAGTCAATCATGAATATATAATGAAAGTACTATTTGTATGAGTGTGCATATGTATATGTTGTATACATGTATATAAAATTAATGTATGAATAAGACAATTATGAATATATTATGAAAGTACTTTTTGTATAAGTTTGCATATGTATATGATGTATATTAGAATTAAATGTTTGAATAAGTCAATTATAAATATATATTATGAAAGTACTAAAACAAACAGGTATGACACATAATACAAATTAAATGGTAAATTAAACAAAATATAATTGAAATTAAAAATGATCAATTGTGCCAAGTAATTCTTTTTAAAAGTTCAGCAGTTAAAAAGTTACGGAGCGGACACGAAATGTAGACTTTTTAACATTTGACCTTAAAGTGTGACCTTCACCTTTTGGACAGCAACCAAATTTTGTAGCTCTGAAGGTCATCTCATAATTGTGATCAGTTGTACGAAGTTATTTAAATAAAAATCAGCGTTTAAAAGTTATGGAGCAGACACGAAATGTAGACTTTTTATTGTGAGATGACGACTTTTTACTTTTGACCTTTAAGTGTGACCTCGACCTTGGTGGTAGAAATAGAGGATATTGAATGAGTGTAAGTTCAATACTGAATTTATTGCACGAGTTGAATAAAATTATATTTTGCGACCCTCTGGCGAGCATAATATTATTTTATTCAACGAGTGCAATAAATTCAGTAATGAACTTACACGAATTTAATATTCTATTTATCACATGCCCGAAATAAAGACCATTTAAATTGAAAAAAAAGAGTCATTTTTCATTGACGCGCCTATAGTATAACGCTAACATTTAGCGCGTCTTTACAATATGTTTGTATAACGCTAATGACGTCACGTCAAAATATATGCACGGCCGTGCAATACCATATTTACGGAGTCGCAAAATCGGCACGGGTGTGTGATAAACCCAGTTATTGCACTCTGCACATCGTCTTATTACGGTGATCACTTGTGCCAAGTCATTTCAAAAATATCTCAGCGGTTTAAAAGTTATGGAGCGGACACGAAAGTGTTACGGACGGACAGACGGACGGACGGACGGACAGACAGACAGACAGACAGACGGACGGACGGACGGACGGACGGACAGACAGACAGACGACGGAGAAGTGATCCCTATAGTATAGGCGACACAAAAAACGGATTTAACAACTTCTTTAATTTTAAGTAGGTCACATAAATTCCGTACAGATAAAGGAACGGCTTTAATCATTGTTATCGTCACAGTTTTCGACCTCGGCTGACGGTCAGGTTATAAAACGCTGAGTACTGTCAGACTGAAATTAACGTAAGTTGAGAAATACAATTTATTTGATTAGGAAATATTGTTTAAAACTAAAATACAGAATTATATTAGATCGTTTACAAAAATGATGATTCGCCATTTGTTTTAAAGTGAGTCTATAAGAGTATGGAACGCCTTTTCTGTCATGTTTTATAGTTACACATGTAGTAATGTTGGCTGGGAATCAAAACTGCGTCGTATCCGACAAAATGTAAACAAACACCGCCATCTTGGAACGAAAAATGTATGTTTTTGTTTATAACTCTTTTTGTTGGAAATGACTGAAAACCAGATATATGTATTAACACGCTACACTATTTTCCGCTTCGTTCGGTATATGTTGCTTGCACAACTATTTTGTAAAACAAAAGTTATAGCGAACTTGCAAAATTTTTTATGAAATTGTGTGGATACGACGCAGTTCATATTGCTATATCTATCGTTTTTTCCTTCAAATCAAATATATATTTGTTTCAGAGTTCACCATAAACTTCGAAATATAATTTTGCATCATTTACTAAACTTTCATTAAAAAGAGATGTTTATTTTGTAAGAAAATAATGATTTTTACGAAATGATACGACGCAGTTGAAAATAAAATATGATACGACGCAGTTGTATTTTTGGCAGTCTTTTCAACAGGGATAATTTTGGCAATATATTTCTATTTTATGGAATAATCACTTGCGCTAGATAAAAAAACCCAGATCATTTGCGGTGTATAGCAATGTTCTGTTACTTTTGATTATTTAGAATACATTGTGTCTTGTCCAATAAAAAATTTAATTTGAAAGTTTACATTGCGGAAGCTACTTTTCAGTTAAACATGAACATGTTACCTAATTGATCATAATATCTGACATAATTTCTTATATTTTCCTGTATGTTCAATATTATCCCTAAAAAATGTAGAAATCTATTAACTTGAATTCATTTTGGCTAGCTACGCTCTAAGTCAACTGTGGTTCTGCATGTTCTGGGTAATGACTGCTTTTTGTGGTTTGTTTCCAAACTTTCACTCTACACATTAGCTTTACCAGGAGCGAGGACCCTCAGGTGCGCCTGTTGTGCATTATTTCGCAAAAATGTTGCATAACCTGCTATTATTATGTATATCTCTTATTCTGTATTCATTTTTTTGAAAACTAGCTAGATAGGTTTTCCACACGAAAGAATAAAAAGTCCCTGTGGTTTTTTCGAATTCATTACGCAATTCAGTTCAAGTGATTTGAATTCAGTAAACATAATAGAGCTCGGCCTCTGTCGGGACACACCTGTCAGAGTTTTTTTTCAACAAAATTTGTTCAACGTCAGCTGTACAAATAAGCAGCTTTCTTATTAACTTTTTGGCGTGAAGTTTTAAGATTATAAATATTTGAATTAATTGTATTTAAATTTCTTATTTCGGTATGACTAGCTGAAAGAAATTTCAATCGTTAAACAGGGGGTAATGCCTCTGTGAAGTCAATTTCTGAAAACTTTTGGTTTAAGTTTCAAGGCAATTCATTATCAAATAAAATCACAACTTAGTATAATGTATGTTAAGTATGCATGTCTCTAGTCTGCTTGAAAATCCAATGCGATAATCATGACCTAAATGTTTCTGTTCAATATTGTGCAAACTTCTTCAATACTGTTGAAAGATTAGCTCCTGCTAATATCTGGTAATAAATTATCGGTGCACAGCGTAAAATACCTTTGCAAAACGGACATCATTCTTTTACAATATATATTTTGTAGTTGATCAATATCGTAACTCGCTTTGAAAATTTAAAGTTTTTTTTTTTTAACTGGAAAGAAAATACTTAAGTGCAAATATAGAAATAACCATTCCGAGATCCTTTCTTGATCGGCGATTAAAAAAAATGCAATATCGAACAAAATCAGCGGTAATTTCCGCGGCGCTGAACATAAAATGCACTAAATACGTATATCTTTATTAACCTAGCTACAAAAATATATTATAGCTTAACAATTTATAATATATATTTTTAGGAAATTTATGTTAAGATTTCAATAAAAAGCTCATTGGTTCTCCACCGATTATTAGAAAATGAATACAATAAAATCGCACGTAAAGACCTGTTAATACAGGGTCAGGAGAGGTTACAACTGGAATATGAATTTTAATATCAAAAATAGTAATCACTAACCATTCGAACTCCGGCGACACAAGCATGCTAAGGCAAAAACTGGACACACGTTGTTATAATTGGTGTGCGATCACGTGGTTTCAATATGTCTATTGCATTTGATACCAGCTTTTCCGGCATTTGTAGATGCTTCTGAATAGGTACAAAATGCGACCTGAAATGCAGCCTTATAGAATTGTAATCATGTATAACATTTTCCATTTTTATGGAACCAATGAGTGACATCTGCTTTTTTGACTTAAGTTGTAAAACAAATAAATGTTGTTGGACGTATCAGCATACCTAGCAGTAATTAAATAAATAACCAATATGCAAGCCTGCAATGGCCATTAGAGCGTCGTAATCATATTTTACTTTTCACTGCGGTCGTATCAATTTCGTAAAAATCATTAGTTTTCTTACAAAAAACATCTCTTTTTAATGAAAGTTTAGTAAATGACTGCAAATTGATGTTTTGAAGTGTTTGGTGAATCTTGAGGTTATAATTGATATTGAAGGAAACGATAGATACTAGAATATGAACTGCCGTCACGTATCCACCACCATCTTCATAAAAATTCTGATCCGCTCAAAGTTGCTAAGTCGCTAATAATTTTGTTTTTACAATAATATTTGTGCAGCAACATATATCCGAAGCGAAGCGGAAATAGTGTGCGTGTTAACTACATATATCTGGTTTTCAGTCATTTCCAACAAAAAGAGTTATAAACAAAAACATACATTTTTCGTTCCAAGATGGCGGCGTTTGTTTACATTTTGTAGGATACGACGCAGTTTTGATTCCCAGCCCTGAATATAGTTACACTTTTTTTCAGAGAAAAACGTAGGGAAAATGTCACGGACAAATTGTGTTTTACAGATATATAGAAAGACCCGCGTGTATATTAGTCAGACTTCTACAGACGGACGAAGGTGGTGTAATGCTGGAGAACATCAAATGAAATTTCAACGTCTTTGAAAAGAAATCTCTGCAAAATAATGATACAACTCACGACTACATATTGTAGGGGTGCGGGGTCAGCAAGGAATGTGTTTTCCCTTGGAACCGGTACACGCAATGAACAATGTAATGTACTACTTCATGGAGGCAGGCCTTAGAGACAGTTCTTGGAAAATATGGATTGCCCCGCCGCATTAATGTACAACCTTTGTGATGACAAATATAACTGGTATTTACCACACAGAGCCCGAACCCATCAATGAATAATCGTGTGCAATACTGGCCTCGGGGACGGGTACTAGG